CCGAACCCCCCCCCCCCCCCCACTTCCCTATCAACCTGGCTATTATGCAAAAATCATAAATCAATGACATTCCTTTTGAACTCCAAAATTATGTCCCAACAAAGCTGGAAAACTATAATTTGACCTTTATCCTCGATGTGTTCACTTCTGCTTCTTGGCTAATATAATACAGAATGTACCTTCCATCTTAGTTAATTAAATTGTGCATATTGATTATTATTTATTGATTTTATTCAAATTTAACTCTGATCTGGTTATTTCGAACCCTGCTGATATACCTGTATGAATAAGGTCCCATCTGTGTTACACTGGGGATAGAGGTTCCTGCAAATACCTCGTCTGGGTTTGTCAAGTTGAACACAAAGTACTGCATGAAAATGGGGACGGATGGACGTTTCCATTCCTTGAAAACCAAGCCACCAGGTTTCAACTGGACCTTCTGAAATGAACGAAAGATTTTTATTGATTTACAGCTACCAAGGGAAATATCTTTCGCTTAGTTGTAAATCGCACTCTGTTTATATGTCTTTAAGCTCAAGCTTATATTTTTTTAAGGCCACTGTCTGAAGTAGGATCTTGGTAAAATAAGCTTATAAACAAAACCTACCTTTTCTATTTGCCTTTTGATCATGAAAGAGCCCACACCACCAACACTGAGTAACAAGCCCAACAGAAGAAGAAAGGTTCCTGAGACAGCAAAGCCAATGATCAAAGCTCTCCTGCTACAACAACTGCAACACCCCCTTTTCGAAGCCATGGCTGAAATATAAACTTGCAGTAAACTGGCCCCCTACTGGAAATAAAACTTTGGAACAACCGATCAAAAAGAAGCAGTTGAGAAAGTAACAGTTTACAATCCAAGTTGGGCTGAAGTTTTTTGCAGTAATATAAAGCCATGACGATAATCTCGTGATCGAAAAATGTTTCTCACTGAAGAAATTTGAACTCGCAATCCCTCACAAGCAGTTCATATGATTCTAGTCAGGGTTCAATCTCGAGCCCATTCCCGAGCCCAGAGTTTATCCGCCTCTGCGGTCAGCGGGGATGCGTTCTAGTTCCATTGCGTGTCCGTTGTGTCCGTTGCGTGTCTGTGTGTCTGTGGCGTGTCAGTGCGTGTCAAGGAGATTAGTGCCTGCTGACAGTCAGCGGTCAAAACAAAATGGCGGCGGGAACGACGGGAGTTTTGTTCGCTCGCAAAGAAGCTTTAAATCGCCTCGAAACCGCTCTCAAAAAGTTCCCACCGCTGCTCGATAGAGACTTCATCAGCTGCGAGAGTGAAGGCAAAGTTTCAGACCAGTCAACATCTGAATTTCGTGTATTACAGTGGAATGTCCTAGCCGATGGTAGGTCAAAAATGTTAGTTCCTATTTACAAAATAATGAAGTTTGTATCCTTTATAATAGTTTTCCGGCGTAATCAATCGTACCAAACCGAACTAAAAATCAATCGAACTCTATCGAACTCCAATCCCCCGATTGTTTTGCCACTGGTTCGGCAGTCTAACACAATCGAACTGACGAACTCTAACTTTTTGGTGAGTTCGATTATACCGAAATCAATCGAACCAATCGAACTCAATCGGTTCGATTTGGTTCGAAAAACGAAGAACGAACAAATATAGCCTGCGCAGCAGACGTTCCCTTTCCCTTTTCCACGCGGGGAGATCGAGCAAGCTAGCGAGTAAACGAGCACGCCTGGGGTGAGCAAAAAATACAGAGAAGTAGGGAAGGGCTGAGCGAGAAGGCGGAAGGAGGGGGGGGGGGGGGGGGGGGGTGCTGAAGACATATTTTCCTTTATTAAAGTNTTGTCATCAAAAGTGCTAGTGTGCACTCTTTACAATACATTTTTGCCAATGTTGGGAGGGGGGAGTGGGACGTTGTGGAAAGGATCTATTTTTACCTCACCTCCCCCAACTGTTCCTTACTTGTTTGCACCCACTTGCATTTTCGTGCCCTTCATGTGCTAATGAACACCTGCTACACAGGCTAGAACAAATATTAATCAGCTATGTTCACTTCAATCAATGTAGAATATATTAAATATTCCTGTAAATATTACGAAAGATCAAAGGCATAACAAATTGCTTGCTTCAGTAATGTATAATATTTAAAGCATTACCAAGGGTTAAAAGGTTGCCATACCACTAAACTTCAAATAAGCTGTTGACTAGAATAGCTTTGGAGGTCGAAATGTTTTGTCAAGCTAGGAAATTCTCTTTTTCTTGACATCCATCGTTCATTGGGTCATCATATTTTGTAACAAATGATATGCAGCATACGTTACAGTATCATTTTAACTGACATATCTGTCACACAAAAAATTTACATGCTTAAGTGTGCAAAGGATTACCAAAAAGTGAAAAATTGGTGATTAATTTTTTTTTTTTTTTTTGCCAACACCAAACACTATTTTCCTTGAAATGCAAACAGGGCCTACATTTTAAGATGTCAAGATGTCATCTGGCTTTAAAATGTAGACAAAACAGTTGGACTTGCCTAATTCAAACTCAGTTATTTTGAATTCCCTGTTATTTCGAATTCCCCGTTACTTCGAATTCCCCATTATTTCAAATTCCCTGTTATTTCGAACTCAAAACCATTTTCCTTGGATTTGCCCTTCAGTCATTTGCTATTAGCTATTTCGAAAATCTCAGGGTTCAACTGTATGAACATTGATTATGCATCAAGGAACGATATAAGCTTTATCCAAATATAACAAATCATTGATCAATGCAATCACTGAGTAATTGATGGGTAATCAATGAGAGCAATTCTTTTTGTAGCCACACCCCCACTGACTGCTGATGTACTAAGTCCAAACAAAATGTTCTTACTGCAGACACAATGCCTTTCCTTACAAGTCACCCAATTTTTCTTAACCCCCCTGTGGATAAAGCCAGCTTTATCACAATTCCCTCTGAATTTTCAATAAATCTTATAATGAAGGAATCCCTTTTAAATGAGAAAATCTCAACTATAGTGGAGTTCAGAGCGGGTTCAAGGTGGGGGGGGGGGGNAGGTGCCTGAGTAGACAATGTTATTGATTAGTTTTCACTAAAGAAGTTAACGTTAAAAAGCAACGACGTTTTGACCATTTGATGGTCATTTTCAAGTTGAAAAGTAAAATTTTTACATGCGCCCAAATGTATACAATCGATTATAAGAATGCAAATGAGACACTGACTAAAACTCCAAAATATTTACATAGAAACAATACAATTACTTACTTAATTATTTCTTGTATTGTTCCTATGTAAATATTTCAGAGTTTTGGTCAGTGTCTCATTAGCATTCTTATAATCGATTGTATTGTTCCTATGTAAATATTTCAGAGTTTTAGTCTGTGTCTCATTAGCATTCTTATAATCGATTGTATACATTTGGGCACTTGTAAAAATTTTACTTTTCAACTTGAAAATGACCATCAAACGGTCCAAACGTCGTTGCTTTTTAACATTAACTTTTTTAGTGAAATCCGTGTCTAGAAATTTGTTGATTCGTATTGATTAGTTGTTGTTTATATGATGACAAGATGTTTCATGGCCTATCAATAAACCTATTGACGTCATCAATTACTAATTGATAATATTGACCACTTATCAGCTTGTAGTTCAAGTTTTGGCTACCGATGCAGAACTCCCTGTAGCGTAATCACATAAATTAATGACAGTGTTAGTGCTCTGTGCCTCATTCTACCAACAGCTCTTATAAAGTTAATTGGCATTGTGGGGTGTTCTGCAATAAATCCAATTCTTGACCGCTGTCTGATGTAAGCTTGTGTTTGAACAAGTGTTGGCCTGTGTAACAATGATGATTTTTTTTCTCAGCTTTAAGCACTTCAAGTCCAACTGAAAATTTCATTAAGTGTCCCCCAAACGCTCTCCAGTGGTCAAAGAGAAAACTAAGGTCTCTTCAAGGAGTTCTTTCCCATGATCCCGACATCATAGCCCTAGAGGAGGTTGACCATTTTGAAGATTACTATTTACCATCACTCCAAGAACTTGGTTATGAAGGATTGTTTGTAGCTAAGAAGGACTCACCATGTCTCAAATTCCCAAACAACTCGGGTCCTGATGGCTGCGCTTTGTTTTACGACAAAGGAAGATTCTCTCTTGCGAACCACAACGATGTAGCGCTAACAGATTGTAATGGGCTTTCGACAAGTCAAGTTGCTTTGATAGCCAACTTATTCGATAAAGTCCAAGGTAGGACTCTTTGCTGTGCTGTAACTCACTTAAAAGCCAAAGAAGACTACAAGGATTTGCGGTACAGCCAGGGAGCTGAACTCTTGAAAACCATTTCAGCTAGTCTTACGGAAGACAAGTCTGCCTTGGTGCTTGGGGATTTTAATGCCGAGCCAACAGAACCGGTCTGTGGACTGATGGAAGAAAACCAATACATATGCATGAGAAATGCCTATGTCACTGCCACAGGAGGCCATCCAGAATTTACAACGTGGAAGTTTCGTCCTGACAGAGAAGTTAAGCACACCATAGATTATGTATGGCACACACAGAATTTGGGTGTGACAGGATGCTTAAAGGTTCCTGAGAGTGATTGTATACCTGATGTCCGTCTCCCTTGTTTGCAGTATCCATCAGATCATGTTTCTTTAGTGTTTGACTTTTGTTGGGGATAAGATTTATTTGCAATTTGTTCATTACAGTTGATCTATCTCGTACTAATATGTGCATAGAATATTTACTAGTAGCACTTAACAATAGCAAAATTTCACAGGGTTTCAAATTATTACAAGCTCTTCGCTTACATCCAAAGAAAAATTTCAGTTAATGGCGATCATAGACGCATTACCTGCACAGTGGCGACAACATTTAAAAACCTGCAATAATTTTTCAAAAAACTCTACGTTTTCCAGTAACGCACAGTTACACCTAAATGGCCACAATGTAAGCTTGGATAAGGTCATATCCAAGAGCATTTATAATGAAGTTCGCTCAAAGAACGAGAGTGTACCAACTGCACAGCTAAGGTATACAGAGACATACAGCGAGACACTGGAATGGGAAGAGATATATCGAATTCATTTCAAAGTAGCTATTGATTCTAGATCCCGTGAATTCCAATACAAGATATTACATAGATATTTAGCGACAAACAAGTTTCTCCACAAAATTGGCCTAGTACCTTCGTCTCTGTGCACTTTCTGCAAAAAAGAAAGTGAGTCTATCCAACATCTACTAATAAAATGTGAATATTCCGACAGTTTCTGGAGAGAACTAATTAACTGGCTAAACACGATAGAAATAAAAATCGAAGCACTATCAGATGTTAACAAAATGTTTGGACTTTGGAACAGACAAGTAGACTTTTATCTTCTCAACCATCTGTTGATCTTAGCAAAACAACACATTTACTCCTGTCGAAATAAAG